GAAAACCAGTGTTTGGTCGATGACATCCAGTGTCAGACACAAAAGGTACAAAAAAGCCATCACATCTAAATAATACACAGCTCGGCTGCATCAGTGGGAAACGCTGCAGAACAACAGTGAAAGTAAAGGTGACAAAGTACGAGTCGGCCAGGTGGGACAGATGGTGGACTGTTCTTTTTTCCTAAATCCAAACGTGTGTTTGTTGATTAAGGAAAAGAATGTCAATACAGCGTGTTGTGCTTTTATTTTGAAAGAGACTGTATGCAAACTGTACATTTCATTAATTTTGCCAATTTCAAACTCATCCATAATCGCCTACATAATCAGGCTCCCCAGGTGCTCAGTGACCTTGTGCTTCCTCTTGGGAGCTGTAAGGTTCCCCTGTGTAGATCCTCGTTTGGACAAACAGCTTTTTCTGTCAGTGGAATAAATTTGTGGAATTCTTTACCTACAGAAGTTAAACTGGATCCTGAGTACGGTTTAAACTTTAAACTCAAACCGAAACAGGTTTTGAAAATGAATCATTTATGCAGTCATGACTAATTTGGTGCTTTCTATTCTATGGTGCTACTTATGTATTGCAGTTTGTGTATTGTGTTGTTCTGTCTGTATTTTTATTGTTTGTACTTTGTTTGTACGTTACTTGTGTTCTTGTTGCCGAGTCTTTTGTGTCTTGAGACCCAGATAGGGACAGGCATTGCAGATTAGCTCAGGCTATAAATGCTGTGGTGTGTGTGTGGTATGCTACATACTTGTCCCTATACACATAAACATTAAATAAATGGTTGGGTTTAGGGAAAAAGAACAGGGTTTGGCTTTACAATCGAACAGGGAGTGAACACAGGCCTCCTGAGTGAAAGTCGATGGTTGCTGGACGTTTCCACCGCCCCTCCTGCCCACCCTACTCTTCTACTTCTGCGCCCTTAGCCTACGCTGTTGTACTGCTGTGTTTTTGCCCGTGATGTTGCTGGGTGTCATTAAACAATGACCATGACAGGTGGTGTCTGACATTCACGTGAAAAGACGGCTTTTTTGACGCCAGGAGTCACTGACCAAGCACCAGTATTTCAAGACTTCAGAGTGAGACCAGGTTGTCCTGAGTGAAAAGGCTGAACGCACCAGGATCACCTTGATTTTCCAGGATGATTTGCCATAATCACACATGAACTGTGATTCTAGTGCCTTAAAATTCAGTAAAAAGCCATTCATCAAAATAGCTTCCTCTGCTGCTGCACTGCTGGCTGTGATTTAATAAATGGTCAAATATCACTGAATAATATTAAACCTTTAAATTAGTGATTCTGTGTAAATTGCAGGATTTTCAGGACATAATTTAGATGATAGCAAACATATAGCACACAGAGAGTAAAGTCTAATCCTCTCTGTACCAATGAACAGAGCCACAAGTCATCACATCTGCTGTTGATTTAGTGAAAACCTCTCCAGTATAGAACAGATTAGAAGTGTTACACATCCAGCTCCATTTGTCTCAGCCTGCCTGTCAGAGTAACGGTACATTATTGATGCACTCCTGATGGCCACAGGTTTGTTAGTTACAGTTTGACCAGCGCTGTGTTGCAGCACGGCTTTGTTCTGCCTCTGCTGCAACTGTTCACATCCAGACATCTCACCTAGCAGCTTCTCTCTGTTCAACATCTGCAGAGAGCATTTCATCCAGACAGATGTCAGACAGGTAAACCTTTACACTGATATAGTCATCTATGGCTGTGCTGTAGTAGGTCATCCAAGCTGGTCACCAAAGGTTCAAGATCTGTCTCAGGAGGGAAGGTGACCCGTCTAGTGACGATGAGATGTTAGCTCCAGAAAACATGTTGGCTGTGTGACAGTATGTGGCAGTATAGGTGGCATCAGGGGAAAATGTGCCCTGATAACAATGGAAGTTAAAGTGGTGGAAGTCCGAGTAGGGCGAGCGGACCTGGGTCCAACAACCACCGACTTCCACCCAGAGGCTAGTGGTCACTTCCTGTAGGATTGTAAAGCCGTGTTCTTTTTCCTAAACCCAACCACGTATGTTTGTTGTTGAAGGAAAAGAAAATTTGCAGTGTTGCTCTGTCGTAGTACTTTTATTTCGAAAGAGACTGTACGCAAACTGTACATTACATTTGTCAAACTCATCCTCACTGTGACCTCGTCACATGTCCACGTTTGGTCATGGACTTTCCACGTCCACATATGACGTCCAAGGTACCCTGGGTGTGTTGGTTGTTGACGTTCTGGGACGCCGTGTCAACTTTAGCCTGTTACATGCATTGTCTGTTTTCAAAATACACTTCTGTTTTCACAGGAAATGTACAGTTTGCATACAGTCTCTTTCAAAATAAAAGCACTACGTTGGTACAACACCGTGAATTGATATTTTTTCCCTAACAACACACACATGGTTGGGTTTAGGAAAAACGAACAGGGTTTGGCTTTACAATCTTACAGGAAGTGAACTCTGGTGAAAGTTGGTGGTTGTTTGCAAAATGCTTGAATTTACAGATTTTTATTTTTTATATCTGTGGAAGGTATTTTAAATTTACACACATATTGTCGATCTGTTCTCACAAATATTATTGAGACAAATCTGTCTCCAGAGTCCAAATTGATTTTTCTTTAGTTTTCCCTGAAGGTTTTTGAACAACCTTTAACTCCACTGATACTACGCGGCTCCACTGGCTGACAGCCCGGACTCAAACGTTCTTATTTCACAGAACTTTGTTCCAGACATTAATATGTGTCTCTAATCTGTGTCCGGGGCGTAACAGTCAGTATGAGGGAAACCAGTGACAGAAGGACGACACTGATACTGTCTGTGGTTGTCGTTATTAATTAGACATTTGTCTTCAAAGTCACCCGCAAGTCAGCAGTCATCTTTTTAAATATGAAGAGAAGTTTTGATAAAAGAAAACCTCAGCTCCTCTGATATCAGCATGAGTAATGATTCATGGTTTTAAGTGTTTTAAGGTGGACTTTTTCCTGGACTCTGATCTCTTTCCACTCCTTATATGTCTTCATGAGACTGTTTGAGAGTTAAGACTGAGGTTGCAGAGTTACTTTCTTGTTTCCTTCTGACCACCCCAGACTCTCCTCCACCACCTAATGTTACCAGCAAGTCATCCACAGCAAGTTATTAATAACTTAATCTGAATATTAAAATATTCCCTACTAAGCTTACCTGAATTCAGTGATTTCACGTACATATGACGCGAGTCAACATTAGCTATTTTAGCATTCAAAATTGCGCGAATGAACACAACATGACATTCTGCAGGCTGGATGGGAAGTTTTGGCGAGCTGTATGTGGCCCATTGGGCGCCAGTTCGGTTGATACACCGTCGGACAGCGTCCGTTTGAAACGCTGACAGTAACAACATAGTATAAGAGCTGGAAAGTCCCTGTGTGGTGAGTGGGAGGGGAGGTGGAGGGGTCAAACAAACCCCGGACTTTCACTCGGCAGCCCACTGTTTGCTTTGCGTGTGAATGTTGGGAAAAACCATAATATTTATTTTAGTGCTGTCAAAATGATCTGTTAATTTTGATGAATTAATCACAAAAAAAATAACGTGTCAAAAAAATTCAAGCTGATTAGTGGCGTCCTGAAGGCCACAGCAGCTGTGTCACATGATGGAGACAGACGGGAAAACGCTGCTCGGCCCCGTGAATAGAGCATTTACATTCAAAAGACGCCCAGATGGAGCTGTTGACAGGAGCAGTGTTCTCTGCAGGTTCTGCAGTCAGGAACTTTCATACCATCAGAGAACTTCAGTCTGAAATATCACCTCAACACAAAGTATTTAGCAGCGAACCCGGAGGTCCGAGCTAGGACAGCCTCTGAGGCGCTAGCAGCCAGCCTCATCATGCCGCACTCGATCAGGTGTTCAGACTGAGTCAGTCTACCTGTGACCGACTCACTGACTCCCTTACAGAATGGGACGCAGACCAGTTCTGGAGGTAGAGGACAGGGGGACAACTGTGTCCAAAATCCAGCAGCTCTACGACACATCTGACAAAAAACTTTCACGGGAAAAGTTGATTTACACAATTTATTTAGATCAGTAATTATTAATTAATACATTATTTTAATCGCTTGACAGCCCTAGTTTATTGCTAACCCTAACCACTGAGACTGTATGCAAACTGTACATTTCCTGTGAAAACAGAAGTGTATTTTTAAAGAGGACAATGCATGTAACAGGCTGAAGTTGACACGGCGTCCCAGTCCATGAACAAATGTAGATATGTGATGAGGTTCAATTGAGAATGTGTTGGAACATCAACAGCAGACACAGGAGGGTATCTAACAATATGTAGACGTGACAGTGACAAAGCAGCGATGTGTGAGGACTCTGGATGAGAGTGAAGAGGCACAGCCCTACTAACACATGCATACAGTCCACATGCATCTGTCCATATGATGTCCTGGAAGCAAAATGTCACTTTGGTCTGACTCAGCACAAACACACACCTTCTGGTGTTTGAATTATTGACTGTGTCTCATCTCATGGTCCCCTGCTCCGGCCCTCAGTTTAGATGAAGGTCTGAAGGAACCACATGAATATTGTATAAGGCTGTTGACCATAAAGGCCTCGCTGCAGCTCACATTATGCACAGAACAGTCCTTAAGCTTCAGATTAAACTCTTGTGACTGCTCCAAATTAAACATGAAAGAAACACGTTGATAAAGCCTTGGAGCTCAGGGCTGTATAACAAACTTTGAGTCTGATGAAATAAGTTTTGTACGATTTGTCCTCAGCTCTGCATGAAGTTTTCTTCTTGTCACACAGCGATAATATTTAAAGAGACTTTGTTCATATGTTTTAATTAATTTTATTTCCCTTTGATTTTCCAGCACTCTTAAATAACTTTCCAGAGAAGGTGTCCTGAAATTAATGCTGTTATCACATCTGGTCTGTTTTTCATGTAGCAGCCAGGTGTGGAGGAACACAAGTCATCTCTCATGTCTTTGAATGAAACAACTCTGTCTTTGTGTCTTGCAGGAGCTGGAGGTTGGTCTCCTCTGAGCTCAGACAGATATCAGTGGTTGGAGGTCGACCTCGGTGGGCGGACACAGATCACTGCTGTTGCAACGCAGGGCCGCTACGGCAGCTCTGATTGGTTGACGGACTACCTGCTGATGTTCAGCGACACAGGACACAACTGGAAACAGTATCGCCAGGAAGACAGCATTGGGGTGAGTGCGTTAGAACGGACTCATCAGTGACAGGAGAGTCAAAACAAGCAGCAGAGACAGTCGGCTTTTTTTCCACAGCTGATGTTTTTGACATGTCACTGTAGGAGAAGCACAGGTGTTGTTACTGACATGAACAATAGCTCTGTTGACCGTGAGCCAACATGCACAACACCACGACCCTGAAACCAGATTCACTCATTTTATTTATTAAAAAACACACACCTGTGTTTTGCACTGTGACAAACCAAACTCAGAAAAATGCTGCTGTTGTTTCTTTGAAGTTTGACAGTATGTAACTGGCTGAGTGAGAGAGAACAATTGAAATTCAACAGGACGTTTGAATTGCAAATCCTTGACCAATACAGTAAAAAGACACAATATCTGACGTTCAAACTGATCAACTGTTTTGTTTTTTGTGAATATATACTCATTCTCCAAGTGAAGAGAACTGGGCTCCAATGTTGGACCTGCCAGTTCTGGTGTTCTCTGGTGAATGATGGAGCTGCACGGTGCTGGGCTGTGAGCACAGGTCCCACTAGAGGACGTGGGGCCCTCTCCACCCTCATGGAGTCTGTTTCTGACAGTGTGGTCAGAAACATGCACACCAGTAGCCTGCTGGAGGTCATGTTGTAGGGCTCTGGCAGTGCTCCTCCTGTTCCTCCTCACACAAAGGAGCATATAGCGGTCCTGCTGCTGGGTTGATGCCCTTCTTCGGCCCTGTCCAGCTCTCCTGGTGTAACGGCCGGTTTCCTGGTATCTGGTCTCAACCTGATTGGGCTGCAGGTACGGCCTCATGCTACCAGTAGTGCCAAGGACACTAGCAGAAGACCAAACTAGAGAAGAATCAGTCAGGAAGGATAAGGAGAGAGCAGCTGTCTGTGGACACCACATGTATAACCATTCCCTTTTTGGGGCTTGTCTTGCTTTTGCCTCTCCATTGCACCTGTTGTCACTTTGATTTGAGGACAGTATCAACTATCTCACAATATGTGCTGCCTGGAGGTTCATCCAACCTTTTTTATGTCATCACTTTCTTGTATTCAGTTGCATCCTGTTTTTATTTATGTTTTGCATAGCGTCCTAACTCTTTTGGAATTGAGGTTGTATAACGTGTCCATTAACAGTCCTGAGGCGTCACCCTGCAGACAGCAGGAGCAACATCATTAACAGACAACAAACAGCATGAAAACTAAACCACCTTTCCAAAGCTGTTGGTACCAGCCATCACCAGCTCTTCAGTAATGATGGGTTAGGTTTATCAGATGGGCAGACTAAGCCCTGTGAACTATGTAAAGATGGTGGGCACAGCACTGCAGAACATTCATTGAAAAAGCTGTGCGTCTGTGGAGAATGCCTGGCCCAAAATTCAAACAATATCTCAGGAGAAACACTTCAATTTATTCAAATTTTCCAAATCTAAAGGAATTAGCATCTCATTTACTCGTACATTTCCCTTTAAAATGTTCACCTCTCTCTAACTCGAACTCTGCTAACTACATTACACTTTAGAGGCAGCCGAGCATTTCCTGGAAGCTCCTGGTACAGACAGAAGATTCTCCCCATTACAGCGGTGCTGTGACGAACAGCTTCAATTTAAAGTTGATGAGAGGTAAGACTCTCACAGCGAGGGTAAAACTAATGTCAGGCTAAGACTCCTTCACAGAGAGAACAGAGAGGGGATGCTTTTGGCTTAAAAGCTTGTTGATTTCGCACTCAGCATAAATCAGGATAAATCCACAGCATGTCCCACAAGTCCTCCTAAAGCTCCTCGTATTAGTCAGCCCAGTTTATTGTGGCTTTCAAGGAACACAGTCGACTGCCGAGCAGCTTCATCGGTCACAATTCCTCCTGGATCTCTCTTTCCTTTAAGCTCAGAGGCCAGAGTTTGTGAGGCTGAGTAATGCTCTCTCCTTCTCTAATTTCCTCCCTCCCTCCTCTCATCTTCTCTTCCTCTCTTCACATCCGCTGCGAAGATGCGAAAGAACAGATGGTATTGGGAATAGTCTCTAATCAGGGAATAGAGCATCCTTAAGTGTTAATGGAGGTAAAGGGAGTGGAAGTACATCATAGATTTCCCTTTGGAACAGGTGAAGACGCCGATTCTGTTAATGAGCGTCATCCTGAATTGCACATACGGCTCTATGTGCTGAAAGTGAGAAAAACCAGAAAGTGGCAGTAAGTGATCATTAAAGTGCGGGAGAACATGACAGTGTGGAGGTTGAGGTAATCAATGATAAGTTTAACTTTACAGAGTTAGTTGCACAAACCTCGACTCACAGTTTTAAATGGATCATTTGTAATTTTGTTCCCTTTTTATGCCTCCATGCCTTCAGAGGCGTTATGTTTTTGGGTTGTCCATCTGTCCGTCCGTCCCATTCTTGTGAATGCGATAAACGTCCTCTTGGACTCAAGGATGAACTGATTAGAATTGGATGGTCAAAGGTCAAGGTCACTGTGACCTGGTCCACCGCATTCTCAAGAACATGATGATATCTCAAGAATACCCTGAAGTTCTTTAAATTTGGCACAAACATCCTCTTGGACTCATGAATGAACTGATTAGAATTTGGTGGTCAAAGGTCACTGTGACCTTGTCTGTTGTTTTACTTGAGGGACATTCTTCAAATTTGGCACAAACGTCCTCTTGGTTATAAGGATGGACTGGTTAGAAAGGTCAAGTTCACTGTTATCTCTTGTCCTTCTCATTTTCATGAACGTGATATCTCAGGAAAGTCTTGAGGCAGTTTCTTCAAATTTGGCACAAATGTTCACTTGAGCTCAACAATGAACCAATTAGAATTTAGTAGTTAAAGGTCAAGGTCACTGTGACCTCACCTGTCTTATTCTTGTGAACCCAATATCTTAAGGACCCCTTGATGGATTTTGTGTTTAAATTTGGCACAAACACCCAATTGGACTCAAGGATGAACTTATTAGAATTAAGTGGTTTAAGGTCAAGGTCACTATGACCTCGTCTGTCTCATTCTTGTGACCCCAATATCTCAAGGGTGCCTTAGTGGATATATATTTTTTTTTAATTGAGCACAAACATCGACTTGGACTCAACAATGAACTGATTAGAATTTGGTGGTCAAAGGTCATGATCACTTTGTCCTTGTCTGTCGCTTTCTCATGAACGTGATAGCTCAAGACCACCATGAAAGTATTTCTTCAAATTTGGCACAAACATCCACTTGGACTCAAGGATGAACTGAATTTGGTGGTCAAAGTCACTGTGATCTCTCATCTGTCTCATTTTTGTGAGAGGACTCACCTCTCTACCTCTTCAAATTTGGCACAAACATTCACTTGGACTCAACAATGAGCTGACTAGAATTTAGTGTTTGAAGGTCAAGGTCACTGTGACTGCATGAAACATGTTTGGCCATCGTACCATGGTAAGACGGCACAGAGCAGTAATATATAGTGAAATTAGAGAAAGTAATTTTCCGTCCACATGTCTGGATGTACACAGACCACCACCATGTACAACCCTGCCTCCATTTAAAGGTACAATATTATGACCTCCTCCACCATCTAGCGCCATCTGCAGTATCGGCCATATCTGACATCATAAAGGACACATGGAAGTATGAGGGCAGTGACGTTTACAACGTTTGAAACAGACGGATCTATGTTAGTATATAAAAGAGTCAATACAGCAGGAGCTGGTCCTGTTGGAGCCACATTTGACGCCACTTCCTGTGACTTAATCTAGTTATTACTACCCAGGTGACTGAATTTAAAACTAAATTAAATGGTTTTCATTATCATGGGAAGAAGCTACGACATGATCAACACCATCATTGTCAAACTACCAAACAGAAGTGTCTCTGGAGAGCTTGAACTTTCAAACAGTGCATGCTGGGACGTCTGCTGCTGTGCTGATGATGCTTCTTTAGAAAATTAATTGAATGAGTCTGTTGATTTCTCAGTTGAATATTCATTCAACTCATTACATTCAAGTTTACAAGACTAGAGAAGTTTTGGAAATGAAGCTCTGAAAAGAAAAATACTCGACAACAAAGAGTTTTGTGACTTTCTGTTCGTAATCCCAGTTTTTTAAAGCTTTTCAGAGGAAAATTCTTTCCCTCCTTCTTCCCTCAAACCATTTTAGTTTCCTTCTCTTTCTGTGTGTAATCAAAGTCTCCATTTGAAGGATTTCCTTCTTCTGCTCAGGTCCTATTTCAGAAGCCAATGCCTCAACTAAATGAGCTGCTGTTCTCAGCAGGGAACGGTCATTTGTGGAGGTTAAGACTGTTTTCTGTCAGGCTCAGTTGTTCAAAGCTGTGAGATCCATGTTCCACAGACTTAAACTCTGATGGTGAGAATTTACCCACATAAGTCAGCATTATAGCAGACGTGTCACCGCAGCACATGGATGCAGTTGTGCTCGAGTACTCACACAGCCTAACCACCAGGGTAAATGTTACATTGGTACGTTATTATGTATTGTTGAAACTGTTTTACCGATGCTGTGGTTCAGTTTAGGCACAAAACCACTTAGTCGTGGTTCAGAAAAGATCATGTTGGTCTAAAATGCCTGGGGCACAGTCCCTGCTGGGAAAACAGCCACAGGTTGCTAAAAACACCCATGTTTGGTTTCTTTAAATTCTGCGGGATATACTACAATGGGTTGCCAAAAAACAACAACAAAAAAAAAAAACAGATTTGCTTGCTACAAGATGCTTGGTGCCTAAAAGGGCACAGGACAAACAGCAGTGAGTCGCATTAAAACAACCACAGTAGTTGTTTGCCCTGGCATGAAGCATGCTGAAGCTCCAGGGATCGTAACACCAAGTCCTAACTGATAAATCTCTTCTGTTACACAGCTCCACGGGGAGGTCAGAGGTCAGTCTGGAGCTTGTAGGGATTCAGCTGCTGGTTCAAGGACATTTCATCTGGCTAGACGGGCAGCATCACTCACTGAGCCGTCCTGCGGCCCCGTTACGTCCCAACAGTGCTCAAGTTCTGCTGCTTCATTTTAGGTTGAGTTTACAGTATTTGCATATAAATTAAAAAAGGAACAAAGTGATCAGAGGAGGTGTACAACTGTGAGTGAAACTCTGAAATGGCAAGAGGCAGAGAGAAGAAAATCAGGACAGAAATCAGAAGCGGAGGTAATTTAGGAGGAGCAGCTCACGACTCAGACTGCAGCACAATCAAATACAATGAGATGAATTCACCACAGTGCTTTTGCTCTCCTGTTCCCTGTGAGGAGAAACAGGAAGTAGACTATGGTGGAGGAAATGTTCATGGTTTTTATAATGAAAGTTGATAAAGGGTTAAAGATCAAGTCCAACTTTGAGCTTTAAAGGTTAAAACAAATCCAGAAAGAGTGAGTTCGGATCGCAGAGGTTAATAAAAGTCACTCTCGGCGGACCGAGTGTTTACCAAAGCGTCTAAAACATAAAAGTACAACCGCTGCTTCACAAATCTAATTTTCTACCTGATTGAGAATCCATTCAGCAGGAACGTGGCTCTATCTCCACAATATTCCCTTCATTAAGAGGAAAATCAAATGTACCACTTCTCACAGGAGTCGGGGGGGGGGGGGGGGGGGGGGGGGGGGGGGGGGTGCACTCCAGCTTCAATAAAAAGATGAAAGAACGTGTTCACTTATTTAGTCGTAAGATTGCCTACAGTAAATAAATCCAGTCACAGTTATCTTTGTGGCGTGTCACGAACAGAAGATGGACAGATGCTCAGATCATGAGCTAACCTGCTGCTGCGCTTTGTTTTTCAGGCTTTCCCCGGGAACAGTAACGCAGACAGCGTGGTCCAGCACAAGCTCCAGCATCCGGTGATCGCCCGCTACGTCCGCCTCATCCCCCTGGACTGGAATCCGAATGGACGGATTGGACTCAGGCTGGAGACCTACGGATGTCCTCACAGTCAGTTTGGGCTTTTTTTTTTTTTAAAGATGAAAGTAGAAATGATACCTTCCTGTTTCACGTCACTGAACGGGACATCATACGGTTCTCTGTCTGAACTTCTTTTCTGAGATGAAAGTGAAACTTTATGAAAAAAACAAACTCTTATTCACAAGAATATTTTTTTCCTTTAGATTATAAAGTGATGACTTTGTCAAAATAAAAATGATACATTTGGTTTCTTAATCAAAAAGCAAACAAAAATAAGTTTTTCTGATTTTTTTCTCATTAATTTTTTATTCAATAATCTCAAAGAATATTTAGGTTTTCTCATGAATTTGTGCTTTTTCCTTATAAATGTGTAGTCCCACACTGATAGGTGAGTTTTTCTCTCTAATTTATGATTTAATAATCTCACAGAATAACCCTTTTTTGTATTTGAAATATGTGATTTTATTCCATGAATTTATCACTTTAATCTAAGAAAATGTCCATTTTTTTCCTCATAGAAATGTGACCTTAGCCTCAGAAAATGTGGGAGTTTTTGTTAAAACTTTATGATTTAATAATCTTTAACATTAATCAGTTTTCTCCCCCATATAATTCTGATGTTTTTCCATGAATTTATGACTTCAATCTCAGATAATATCCAGCTTTGTTTCGTACATATTTGAGACTTTAGTGTAAAAAAAAATCCTGAGTTTTTCTTGAAAATGTATGATTCAATAATGTCAAAGAATAATGAAGTGCCCGTAAATTTGACTTTTGATTTGATTTTTTTTTACATGAATTTAACACTTTAATCTCAGCTAATATCCAGATTCTCAAAAACTTATGATTTAATAGTTTTTTCTCTTGTTAATGTGAGTTTCTTATATATTTATCACTCTAATCTCAGAGATTATCCAATTTTTTTTTCTAATAAATTTACAACTTTAATCTTTTTAAAATCTAAGTTTTTTTTTAGTTTGAATGTTACTCTAATCCCTGGATTCCTTTTTTTATCTATTAATTTGTCACCTTCAATGGCCCTGATATGCCATTGTATGAATTGGCTAAAATTTTCCGAAGGGAGAAGTTTGATCGGGGGCAGATTGAATGAGCATATTTCACTTTATTTTCAGTCTTATAATATTTCTATTTTGTTGTGCATCTAACAACTTGAACAATTTCAACTGTTTGTTAAAAACTACAATCAATGAGCAGTGTTGGGCAGAAACGCGTTATTAGTAATGCGTTACAGTAACGCCGTTAGTTTTGGCAGTAACTAATACTCTAACGCGTTAGTTTTTAAATTCAGTAACTCAGTTACTGTTACCAAACAGTACATTACTCCATTATTGTTGGCCAGGTTTTAGAACGGTGCTCAGCATGCAGTATTCCTTCACAAACTGAAGTTCCCTTTCACTAAAACATTTTAGCCCTAAACAATAAAAGATAGTCAAGTCAGACAGAGGTATATGAACAATTCTTACCAGAGCATCTTAATGAAACACATCTCTCACCAAGTCACTGTCAACCTGCTGGCCTCACCACAGTGCTGTAATGTTACATTAAAGGGAAATTTGGGTTTATTTCAACCTATCTCCTATCGTCCTAAATTTGTTTCAAGTGACTAGTGACATAAAAATAATAGTTAGCATGTTAGCCGTTAGCCTAGATACAGCTGGGGCGCATAGTAGCGTCAGACCTGTTAAAACGTAAGTGAACGGGCAACCTTCAAGTGCAAAGTTAGTCCACTAAACAAGCTTTTTTTCCACAAAGACCGCCTCATATCGTTAGGATAAATGTCAGAGAACATATAGAAAACTACATGTAAACGTGTTGTCTTACCTTACCGGTGTGCTGCCATGTTTGTTTACCATCTAGCTCTGCTTTCCAAAGCACGGCCGAAATATATCTCTGTCACTAGTCACTTGAAACAAATTTAGGATGATAGGAGACAGGTTGAAATAAACTGAAATTTCCCTTTAAGCCGTAGCGCTTCTGTAGATTTTTAGTCCCAGTAACGTGATATCCATTGTTATCCCGAGGAAACCTTTAGCTCATTTTCCATATTTGTATGCAAGCACCGTAGTTGTAAAACGTTTAGTTGCCTGACAGCGAGTGACTCCACTGTAGAAGACATGTTGCATGTTTCCTGTACCGTTCAGTAGTTTTGTCAAGTTGTAGTCTAACAGTCCCTTGGTTAAACTGCATCTGCTGTCTCTTAGGCGAGCCAGTACACTTAGGAAATGTTTTGGGCTGAGTTTCCCAAAACATGATCCTTCTTAGCAACGTTGTCTTCTTTGTGGTTTAGAAAAACTACACTGCAAAAAAGAAAAGCACCTGGCGCCCTCTAGCGTCCCCACTCAGTCATCTACAGCCAGGACGTACTCAGAGTATAGATGACACTAGTGTGCATGCATCAAGGTCATGGCGTGATGGCGAGCCAAGACCAGAGTCCTAAGTCGAGTCTTTTTTTTGGGAGGGGGAGTAACTAAAGTTACTTTTCTCAGTAACGCATTACTTTTTGGTTTAAGTAACTGAGTTACTAACTGAGTTACTTTTTAATGAAGTAACTAGTAACGGTAACTAGTTACCATTTTTCTGATCATGAGTAACTATGACACATCATTCATACAACATGTCCACAATCTAAGATGGCATTTACAGTATTTTATTTATTAACTGATGGATTCGTCTCATCATTTCATCAGCTGCTACAACACAAGGAAGAGCAGAGCGACATCATGTTTCTCCAGAATAACTAACGTCCAATCATTTTTAAATCTGTTTTGTTTTGGTGAAACAAACATGATTTGTCTACAGAACAAGGATGCACCGTAACATCATTGTTTAGTCATAAAAATTCTGTTTCCATCAACTTCTTTTTCATCAAGAAACTTCCGTCTTATCCAGGACTAAAACTTTTTTTTTTCCTAACGCATGTCACATTTCAGATTTAATGTGCAAACTAAAAAACACACCTACAGTATGTGCACACAACACTAAACAGAGATGAGGAGCAGATGGGGAGGAGGCAGCAGATCAGGTCTGACTCTGAGCGAGCCTCTGTGGCACCAGCAGGACAGGTGAGGAATGTGCACAGAAAGCAGAGGCAGTACATGAGGAGAAGAAGTGAGGACGGAGGAGACAGGAGAGGACACAGCAGCCGAGGCTGTGACAGTAACAGACGGCCTCTCCCTGCGTCTGCTGCTCGGAACAGAAAGATTCATTATGTTACATGAACGCAGGCAGAAGTCATTTGTCTGTGAGAAGTCAAGCCAGTGTAAAAAGTTAATCAGTCCGTCTTTGCCCTCAAACAGGACTCCCTCGCACTTGTCATGCAAATCCATCGATGCAGTGAGATTAAACACAAACTCTGTCCAGCTCTGTGGACAAAAGGCGATGGAAAACGAGACGCACTGCTCGAGTAAAACCAGGAAATGATGACATCTGTGACGGCATATTAAATGACTTGTGATATCTTTAAAGAGGGACTGAAACATCTCAGTGCTGTTGTGAAACGTTTTTGTGACAGTGCTGCAGGAGTGAATGATCTCTGAGAGAGTGTGTGTCTGCTGAAGAAGTGTGTGCCGCTCTGTTGGTTCAGTTTGATTTAACTTCGCTCTCAGACAGAAGAAATGAGTTTTGATTGGACTCTGAGGATTCTGGCATCTCTTCCTCGTTTGATCCGAAAGGTAAAGAGGAAACTTTTGAATGATTTCAGTTTGATTGTGTCAGCAGTGAATGACTCGGATTCATCTGAGCTGACATTTCTAATTTGATAGAGACACTGTAGGCAGGAGCACGGCTACACTCTGCGTCATGATGGTTAGTGTATCATTTTCTGTAGAGTGATCCATGCTCCATATTCAGACAGCTCATCTGTTAGCTCCTCTGGAGAGTGTGGACACTTTATTTGTGCTTTATCACTCACTTACCAGACTGTCATAGCCCAGACCAAAATGTTGGCATCGTACATTTCTGCAACCACAAACACTTTAGATCTGTTTGTTTCGTGTGCATCATATCAGCGTTTCTAAAGTGACGTAGAATATGAGCTGGCCCTGTCCTGTGGAGGTGGAGGGGACGGTGGATGGTGTTGTTACGGACCCAAATGCAGAACAGCAGGCAGGCAGATGGTTTTCACAAACAGCGCACTTTAATGCAGCTCGTTAAACTCCTCCAAAACAGGCAGGCACGACTCACAGAACCAAAACTAAACTGAGAACAAATCAGGACGGAGAACATAAGACATCAACACAGAAGCCAGCACAAACACAAACACGCAAAACCAAACACCAGAACAAGGCTAGGGTTGCAGCAACACACAGGGTTTAAGGTAAACCCTCTGACTCATAATAAGATCAGTTCTGTGATACTGCAATGTTTTCTGAGCCGGTTATTGTACCGTGAAAATCTCATACCGCTGCAACCCTGAACAAGACACAGCTGGAGTGGGCGGGCACGGATGAAAGGAGGGAAACACAGGGATTGGCTGACAGCGAAGGTGTGGTGGAGCAAACAAGACGAAGACAAGACAGGTGTGTGTCAGGAAACAGACAAAGGTAGGAGGTAACACAAGACGTGATGTATGAGGAGAATAGATCTTTCCCAGTTCTGCACCTCCGCGACTCCTCGATACTTCAGCTTGAGCCCCAGAGATCAATCTCATCTCGCTCAGTTCCTAAAATGTACCTCAAGGATCGAGGAGGCCGGCCGGAGGAGCTGTAAGCGAGGAAACACCACTGTGTGTGTTGTGGAAGTATTTCTGGCACCTGACGTAAAAAAGAGGTGTGACGCACACCTGAGGGAGAGAGGATATAAACTTTGTATAGACAGACAGGAGCATGTTTGTGTACAAATACTGTTTATCAGATATATGTCACTCTGTTCATATAGCCTATATATTACTGCTTTCAGTAATTGTAAACGTTCCCATGTGCACAGTGATGTCACTGCAGCAAATATCACGTGACATTAAAGCATAAAAACTATAAACTGTAGTTATTGACTTGACAGAGGAAACAGAGCTAAACTGTTCAGTGTCTTCACATTGAACAGTTTGGATGATATCCCTAAGTTCACACGTATCCGAACGCGTGACTCGATGGTAAAGTCTCGGTCACGTGTTCGGGTCCGTGTG